CATCACACCCCATACCTGCAGGCAGAACCCAGTGATTTGCTGCAATTATGTTTTCTGTCTCCTCCTCCAGATTTTCACTGCTGGGGCCATCTTCATTCAGCTGGAAGATGTGAAGTGCAACAGTGCATGCACTCAAATCGATGGGCTAAAATGAGGGAAAAGCCAAATAAATCCACACACATTTACAATCTCTCACTTAATTCCAACCATACAAATTAGATGTTAAGGTCCACAAGTAAAAACTGAATGTATAGTACAAGAAAAACTAGTTCTCAGATTAGATGAGAAGGCTGTTATTTTATTTCAGATTGAGGATTAGCTCTTCTGAAAGCTAATACCCATCCCTTGCCCTTTGGGCCCTACATTTACCTATAGAATGAAAAAGTGCCCAAAATCCAACCTCTGGGACGTTATTATAGTCTATAAATACACTCACACAGATTTGGCCAAAAATTGAGTTTTACCACATAGGGTTTTGTTTGTTTGTTTTTTTAATTAACTTATTTTTTGAGACAAGATCTTGCGCCCAGGCTGGAGTGCAGTGGCACGATCACAACTCACAGTAACATTAAATTCCTGGACTCAAGTGATCCTCCCACCTCCAGCCTCCTGAGTAGCTGGCACTACAAGTGTGCACCACCATGCTGGCTAATTTTTAAAAACTCTTTTTAGTGATGGGGTCTTGCTATGATCCCCGGGCCAGTCTCCAATTCCTGGCCTCAAGTGATCCTTCCATCTGTCTCCCACAGTGCTGGGACTACAGGCATGAGCCACCTTGCCCAGCCGGCTTCCTAACTGTGTCCTTTTACAGTTGTTATAGCTCAGAGAAATGTTTACATCGGTAGACAGAAATCTATTTCATTCTTTTTAATGGCTGCATTGTACATAGTGTAGATATATGGAATTCATACATTTATTAAGTGATCTTTGGTGGACAGTTAAAATACTTCAAATTGTTGGCTATTATTAACAGCATCTAACAAACATCTGTTCAGAAAGATCTACAAAATTGCAGAATTATCAGCTAAGATAAATTCCTACAGGTGAATCTGCAGTCAGAGAACATTAGAATTTTCCCTGGGCAGCCCCGCTGCCCTCCAGTTAGGGTGTCCATCCCTCCACAACAGTGTGGGAAGCTCTTCCTTCCCTCAGACTGGCCAAAACCATGGCAGTATCAGCTCTCAGTGTGCACAAAGCTCTGAGCATGCACAAACATGAGTCCTAACGTATGAATGGGGAGGTCCACCTCATGAGCAGAACTTAGTACCAAGCCTGTCCTTCACAGCTGGTTTTTACAGGACAGGAATTGTACTGCTGTGATACGTCTTCCCTAGAAATATGTTTCAGGTTGTTTTTATACTGGTGCCAGAATTGCCCCACACAAAGCTCCTCTAACACATACACATGAACTCCAAGGTGGGTGAGGTGGCCATGCATGGGATGAGATGAAGGACTTCTACAAGGCAAGCCCATCTCCTCATCTCTGTGGCCCCCACACCTCCTATGGCCCTAGCACACAGTGAGCACTTCATAAACATTTGCTGACTGTAAGAATGAGACACCATACACAGGCCTTACCAGCACAGTCCACTATTCTACAACACTGAATTCTCATTCCTGGTTTCCGATCTGTCCCCTGCTATACTGACAGCACCCTGACATCAGGGCCACTTCCTGCTCCCAGCACCTGGCTCCTGACAGCTAGTGAGAAGAACTTGTCTAGCCACCCAAACCAACAGAGAAGTGAACCCGTTTCTGAAAACAAGCTATGAAAACGGCAAGACATTCATGATACAGCCTTTGTATTCAGCTAACTGTTCTTGGCCCAGGAAATTAGTAACTTACCTGTGAGTCTTTAACCTTCAATTCTGTGTCAACAATAGATACAGACTGCACATTTCTGGTCAAAAAAGGTTCATCAAACTCAGTCCATGTGTAATCACCAAACACAATATTATGTCTGTTGAGTAGCTTTCTAACACTCAGGTTTATGTCTTCTTTCTTTGCAGTGCTAAAAAACAAACAAACAAACAAAAAACCACAAAAACAAAAACAAAAACAAAAAAGCACCAAAACACACATAAATGATTTTCATTCAAAAACAAAATGTTAAAATTAAGTGTTTTCAAAAACTCAGACAATACATAAGAAAGTGCAGCAGTTAGGAGGACAGGCTGGAACTGGCCTGCCTGCAGACCAAATCTAGAGCCACCCCTTGCCTATGGGTCCTTTACCAGCTGTGCCCTAAAGAAGCCGTGCCCCAGCTCCCAGTTAGAAAAAGGGGACAACAGTAAGAGTCCTTGCTATGCTGGGCTACTGTGAAGAGTCATTAATACATTCAAAGTGTTTAGGACGATACCTGGCACAAAGTAAGCAGTCAATAATGGTGGCTTTCACTATTATTAAGGAACTTCCACAGCTGTGGGGTCAGGCCTGGGGTCTGCATTGTAACAAGTCTTCAATAGCTGTGATTCGTGCTGAGAAAATCTAATGCTTTATGCTTGGCATCCAGGGCTTCCCTCGGCCCACCTTGCTGCACTCCTCCTGACACCTCCCCTTTCTACAACAGTGAGCTGGTCCTGGATCACACCTCTGTGCCCTGCTGTGCACTGTCCCAGCTTACTGGGTTGATCAACTGCAGTCACCCTTTAGGTTCTATTTAATGTCTGCCTCCCTCTGACAGGCTCCCCTCCCTCCTGGACAGGCTCCTCAGAGCCAGGCAGGTGATCTGTGGCCCCTCTGCAATCATCCCGGCACCCTACAAGGCAGCGACCACCATGCATAGATAGTGTGGTTGTGTGCAGGTGTCTATGAACTCTGGGGCAGCTGTGCTCTGATGTGATTATGCCTAGCATCTCTGGGCCCGGGGTGGTTGTACATGGGGTGTCTCCAGGCTGCGGTGACACTGTGTACAGGTGTCCCTGAGCTCTAAGGTGTTTACACAAGGTCACAAGGCTGTGGTGGGGCTTTGTGCAGATGTCTCTGGGCCCTGGTGCAATTATGCTGACGTGTCTCAACTCCAGCACCTAGAAGTGACCAGTCAACAACTGTTCTATTAAAGGGAAGGTCTCTTCCTCTGCCTCCCCTCTGAGGCTGGTGGTCTCACTAGACCTCAATCCACCCTCCATGGTCATGAGGAGGGTCTGTGAAGGTCTGGCCCCGCTGCTGAGCTCCCCCAACTCCAGGGAGCAGCACAGCCCATAGGCCCCACCATCCCACGAACTGACTCGGTCACAAATGAGTGGGATTTGCTTTGAACCCTAAAAATTTAACACCAAGTCTGTGAGGAACGGGAACAATTAAAAGGTCTGAGAAACAATGGCTCAAAGAACAACCCAATTTCGGCTGCGACTTTAGAGCTCTCTGTAATGCGCGGCCATCCTATCCTCCAACGTGTGACTCAGGGTCAGATCGGTGCACTGGAGAACAGCCGGGCACGGTCAGGGCCAGGTCCGTGGGCTGAGGTCGGGTCGGGGAGCTGGGATCCTGCGCGCAGGGCTCGGGTCGGCAGGGTCAGTGCCCTGGGGTGGGGTTGGGTCATTGC